GTGTATTTTTTTTAACCCACCCCCACGAGAGGTGCTGCCTCTTCGACTCCCACGACCTGACCGAGTAGGTCGATCCCAGCCTTTCGAGGGCGTTGCCCTCGTCGACCCCTCGATAACTGTCTTTTAAATCTCTTTTACTTCTTCCTATATACTCGCAATAACTAATATATAAATGAGTATACCTGTAAATTTTTTTCCTCTCTACACTTTTCATCTATTCTTCTCATTAGGCAATTAATCAATTAGGGACCAACTGAAGCTTAGAACTTGAAGGATTCTCTTGTCTGCGCAGAAGTCAAGCCTACATTTGCCTTTCCTTGGCATTATGATTATCGAATAATATTTTCGCTCCTTTATTTTCCACTAAACTTTTTCCTTGTTCAGTAGGTACTATAAATATTTTGGTATAGAGCACAAATATGAATTGTTAAATCTTACTAAAATACATTAACATTACCTTAAAAATACCAAAACCCATACATTGTACGGGTATTCGACTGGTAACTGGACAACATTCAATCATGTATTCATGGGTGAGGAAGTGAGAATTGACGGTAAAGAGGACAGCGTGCCGGAGTGGGAGGCGGGGCTGCCGACTGCCTACGATCTGACGCCGTTGTCCCAGGTGTTGATTCCGCTAGAGCGTTTAGACAGCGTTCGAAATCTCTCCGGAGCCTATACGGACCATTCTCGATGTCAACCGTGCCTCTCAGAATACCCTCTCCTCTATCCGTGCGATCGCCGACCGTCGCTTCAGTTCCAAGTCATTTAACGGTAATAATACGTTGGCCGTGGTCAGCCATCAACCATGTGATGGTAGAGGAATATGACCCGACCCATGATGGATCTGACCCGAATATACCCAGCTTTATCGTCGAAAACTGTACGGAGGATCAATTGTGTCCAGCCAAGAGTCAGAAAAGGGCGCGGCTTGTGTGGACCTCAAAACTGCACAAGCGGTTCTTGGACGTGGTGGAGCATTTGGGATTAAAGAATGCGGGGCCAAATAAGATTGTGCAGATAATGAATGTGGATGGGTTGACCCGGGAAAATGTTGCTAGTCATCTGCAGAAGTATAGGTTATATAACAAGAGAAAGAAGGAGAGTCCATCCGCTTCTGATCACATGTTTGCTTCGGCACCAGTTTTCCGTCAACAGAGCTTCAACGAGTCGCCAAGTGCTGGGAATGTGGATTATAGAGATTGTGGGCAATATGGGATTATGCCAATTCCAATGCCATAACCACAGCTTATGCCGATGACGATAGGAAGTGACAAACACACCCTTAGTGGGTTGATTTAATGATTTTGAGGCTCATTCTCATCATAATTAATATCTGCAGCTGTATAATAGTATTTCTTGGCAGCAAAGGGACAGGTATGTCGATGTGGATCATGCGACTTCGAATATTACATAAGTGTTTAGTAAGAGCGATACTACAACGGAGAAAAAGGTGAATTTTACTAGGCTTAATCGCACAAAACGTTCTTTCGTTTCAAATTTTTGCATTTTCACACCTATTTCAACGTTTCATTGCAGAAAACGTCATTTTCACCTATTTTTAACGTAAAATGATCCATATACCCTCCTATATAAATAAAACAAAAAAGAAAAGAAAAGAAAAGAAAAATAAAGAATAGATTGCATTCTTACTCCTAAAATTTTTAAAAAATGCAAATGAGTCCAAAATTTATGAAAATATTAAAAATAACAAAAAAACTCTCTCTCTCTCTCTCTCTCCTCGTCCTCCTCCTCCGACACCAAAACCATTGGAATTTCACCCCTTTATTTTGACTCCAAAAACAATTGAATCCAAAATTTGGCTCGAACTTTTTCTCTCCTCTTCGTGGTGTGTGAGGAACGACATTTGATTCCAAAATTTGGCAAACGAGGGCTGTAATTTCTGCAATTGAACGATTAGCCAATGTTGTTTGAGCTTGAATTTGAGTTTTCCCAAGTTGATTCGTATGTTGGGACACAATTGAGCCACGAATGGATGGAAGAACTTCCCCTTTGGGCGGACGAATAGTTCGTTATGTCAATCCAAAATTGTTTCATTTGTCCGATGAATTGAGGCAATTGAATCCTTACCTAAGGTCGTTTTACTTTTAATTACATGTTGGTTGATGCAATTTGTAGATTGGAGTTGTGGTGGGATGCCAATTGAAAGGGGATCAGACCCGTTTTTAACGCGTGTGCACTGTCAAGTGTGGTTCTTCCATTTCTGGGCAAAATTGACGATGACCCATAGGAGCATTATGTGCGAGTTGAGTAGGTGATGCTAGGGGAGGTGGATCGTGATCATGGGTCTTAACGTCGGCGCTAGAAAATGAGTTTGAAGTGACCGAATTCGCTATTGAAGAAAATGGCTATAGATTCTGATTTTCAGCTTTGTTTGATGTTATGAACACATCTGTAGGAGCGCAATGAGAGTTCAATTTCAGAGGGGTGAAAGTCCGATGGTTTTGGCGGCGACGATGGTGGTGGTGGAGGCGGAGGAAAAGAGAGATAGTTTTTTGTTATTTTTAATATTTTCATAAATTTTGGAATCATTTGCATTTTTAAAAATGTTTAGGAGTAAGATTTCAATTTATTCTTTATTTTTTTTTTGTTTTATTTATATAGGAAGTTATATTGGTCATCTTACGTTAAAAATAGGTGAAAATGACGTTTTCCGCAATGAAACTTTGAAATA